GCCCAGATGTTTGGGAGTTATTAGAGCTTGAACAAGCACATCATCATAAATCCTACTGACTGGTCCAAGAGTTAAAGACTAAATACCTAGAGGTCTCCAAACTGAGCAGTAAATTTGATGTGTCTCCACACACAAGTGAAAGAACAACCAACCTCCCCCAACTGCAGACTCAGTATTCATGTGATTTTTAAGTTTTAATTATTTTTATCTTTCTGGAATATCACTTTTCAGTAGAAATATAATATGGATAAATGTATGATTTTAAATTTACAAGTAACATAAATATAACCATAAAAAGAACAAGTAAACTTTTAATTCTAAATTTTATTAACCCTAATACATATAAAATTTTGTCATTTCTACAGGTCATCAACATAATTGAGATGTTTCACATGCTTTTTTTTTTTTGTCTGTGTTCTCAAATCGAGTATGTGTTTCATACTTGACAGCACATTCTACTGTGGACTGAGCTCATTTCCCACACTCAGGATTTCACGCATGGCTGTCTTGATGGATAGTCAGCTATAAGCTTAAGAATATACCTGCTATGCAACTGTGTTCCAGTGTGTGTTCTGTATTCTAAATGGCAAAACTTAAATCTTACAGAGAATTTTGTTGGTGGTGGTAGTGATTCTCAGTCATTTTTTTAAAAATGCGTCTTTACTCATTTGTTCACTTGACTTATATTAAGCACCACCTATGTTCTAGAGATGAAGTAATGGAACTAAATTGCCTTGAAATTATAGTCAAGTAATGAAAATGAGCTATAAATGCATCATTAAAGTTCTTTATAAATATTGAAAAATGTGTGCATTGTATGATGTGAAAAACAGAGAGTCTTTAAATGAAGAGTGTTGGAAAATTGTACAAATTCAGGTTATATGAGCTTGGGCTAAAATTGATTAGTAGAGAGTCACGAGACAAAGAAACCATCATAATCAGATGCAGAATGAACCACTGTTTTTGTAATTAGCAGTTTATAATCAGAAGACATAACCAAAAGCATTTAAAAAGCTGGCAGTAGCTTAATGACCAGAGTTTAAAGTCCCTTTGGGTCAGTAGTAAGAAACAAAAACAGAACCACATGTCACACGTGGAGGCAGAAAAATACATCCTATTTCACTAAAGCGTTTTCAGTTCATGTTGGAGGACTAATGAGTGATGTTATGAGAAACAAGAACTTTGTATTTTGGAAATACTACTTTGATGGTAGACATAACATGAGCTAAGAGCAGGAGAGGTAGGTCAGGTAGGAAGCTGTTATATCAGTAAGCAATAAATAATGGAGATTGCAGTTTAAGGGGAGAAAGTAAATACACATGAATAACACTGGAATTAGAATCAGCAAGACTTAGAACAATTCATTGTGGCTGGGGGATTTATGGGAATGGAAGGGCGAGTAAAAGTAAACGAATCAGCTGTGACATGGAAGCTTATATATTTTATTAATAAGACCTGTTGTCTTCTCAACAACTTCACAGTTTTTCTGTTCTTTCATGAATTAGTGAAATCACCTGGTGTTTATTTCACTTATATACCTGAAGTCTTTTTAGTGTTATACACCAACATTATATCAATATATTGATAGATTTTTTTTTTTAATTTAGGGAAATCTATACAATACTGTGTATGTATGATAAGAGATATAGAATAAGCATAGTTTTGCTACTTGGTTGGCACAGCACTTAAAAAAAAAAATGACACCTAGTGGTGAAATTCAGTGGTTCTCCATCATCCTTTAGTTTATATGTGCTTCATGATATCATAGCTAGTTCTTTACTACTTAGAGAAAATGGTATTGTAGAACTATAGTTTAATAAATCTAACTTTCTGGAACACAAATAATAACTAGTGATATCATTTTTAAAAAACTGAGTTTTGAAAAATCAGTATATGGATCAAAAGTTAATTTCTAAACAAAATTAAAAAAGGTACTCTAAAAACTGCAATATTTTTTATTTACATGGATAATGAAACTACTATGTCATTATTCTTGGAGGAGGTGAAAGAAAATTTATGAGGGGGTAAAAATCACATTGGCTTTGAACTTTATTATAAATTTAAATTTAACTCCTATAAAGCAATGTTGAAAGACTATTGAATAAGACAAAAGTAAAGAATCGTGTCCCTAGCCAGGTTTTATGCAAGATTGATAAACTGACTACTGTAAAGCTTCAGTAAACATGCTACCCATTTTGCATTTAAGATTGTCCCAGACAATGAAGCATTGGGGATGAATATTGAAATAAGTTAAATTGCTAAGTAATTGTTTTGTTCATGAAATAAAATGCATATGACAAAGTTTTTCACATCAAATATAAAATTTGAGTCTCTAAGCCCAATCTCTATGGGCCTGGAATTCCCCTTTGGATCTTTGGGTGGTAGAAGCATAAAGATCTGATGTTGCCCTTCTTCAGAGCAAATATTTGTTCTTTTCTGCAAAGTTGTATAACTGAACAGATTGAAATTTTTAATTTCTTGTATAGCACAAAGGGCTAGGTTTTAGATTTGAACCTCCTTTTTTCCATATCTAACTTATTTTCTCAATTCCCTCTCCTACCTCTATGACCCATTCCCTTAGTCTGGTATTCTGTTTATCTGTCACTAGACGTTTCCTGATTCTGACACACAGGAAGGCTAGAAGATCAAGATGGTTCTGCTTCATCATTTCTTTATAAAGGGAAAAAGAGATGGCCCCCTAAGATCTCAAGCTAAGACTAAATTCAGTGTTGCAGCTCTAGTTGATATGTGTATAATCGTAAAACTTAATGAATGAAGGTGACATTTCCTATCAGTGGAGAAACTATGATGGCTTGATAAATAGTGCTGGCAGGTCCAGACCTATATTACAGTTCAGCAGCTTGTACACTTTACGTGGGTACATTTTATTGTCTGGCACTATAGAAATTTTGCTGAGATGACTGATAATTTATTAGAGAAAAAATACCTCCCCTGCACCAAAATTTATTCCTGAGGATATAAAATTCAATCTAATAAATGAAACTACAAAGCAGTTATGAGAAATTGCAAAATATGCAAAAATATTTGCATGATTTTGGTGTAGGAAGAACCTCCTAAATTTGAAACCAAAAAAGGAAAACACCAAAAGTAGACAGGATTTTTCATAGGCATGCATAGATCATTGTCCATAAGTGGGATATGATACCTGGCTCTTCTCCCTCAACCTACCTCCACACCCAGTCCCCTTTCCTGCCACACCAGAGAAGCTGTGTCAGAAATCTTGCAGAATCTTCCAAAGTACATATATTTCTAAAACCATATAAATTAACACATGCAAATGTAAATATATAAGAGTTTCTTTTTTTGGTCAGTATTTTACATAATAAAAATATTTTTTGTCTTCTGCATCTTGTTTTACCTCTATACATTGGAAACTTTCCCATATCATCTGGCATAGCTTTAATTCCTTTGTTTTAATGGATGTGTAATAACCAGTGCTTCACTTTTTTTTTTTTTGCAGTTTATTCTGCTATTCTAAATAAATGATGATTCCCTTTGTTTCCAGTTCTTGATCACTATGAATTATGTTGCTTTACCATTCTGTACATTTTCCTTACCAATTGACCATTTGCTTCCTGTGGAATAAATGCTTAGGATTAGGGTTGCTGGTCCTCAGATTTGAAGAGTTTTATGTATTTCAATTTATAATAAAGGTTCTCTACCCTTTAATTCATTTTTGCCATTACTGTTTGAGTTATCAGCATTCGTGATAATAGTAAGTAATACAGCTCATTTTACCTTCTGCATTTTCCTTTTTATTTTTTTAACTTACTTTGTTCAGGGTATCAAAGTTAGCCATAGGTGAGTGACAAGGGCCTTTTCCTTTTCTTGTTTCTTCCTAAGAAAGATTTAGACTGCCAAGCACACTATTAGGGATATGTGTGAGCCAAACACCTCAGGAATATGTATAGTCCTTCCAAGTTTTCCTCTAAATTACTGTCCAGCCTCTTAGTTGATAGAACTAAAATCATCGCCTTACCCAGCTACCATATTTCCAGGATGTCAGTATCCTAGTGATGCCCTGGAGAACAGGGCTTTTGTCTCCCTGAGCTGGTGTCTATGTCAAAAGAAATCAATGAAGTGTCTTGGAAAGTTTTTCAGGAAACTGCATGTTGGGACAAAAGAGTGACTGCTCAGGGGGAAGCTGGATTTTAGTCTTCTCTTTTGACAGATATTACTGTCTTTCTACTCAAATACCCCTTTTCTAGGTATTAACACCAAGGAAAATCATTCATTAGTTACTGTGTATCCACTATTTGCCAAATAATGCTTGTCATCAAGGATGCAGCAATAGAAAATATATAAATACTTTAAAAAGCCTTTGTTTTCATGGAATTTACATTCTTGTTGGTGAGGCAAACAACAAAAATAAAAAGTATATTAGAATGAAATAGATACTGGGCCCTTCCTGATGGCTCAAGAGGTTAAGGTGTAGCACTATGAATCTATCACAGCCACTGCAACAGAGTTCAATCCCCAGCCAAGGAGGTGGCCTGCTTCTTTGATCTGCCTGTTCTATACCCCGCTCTGTCTCTGTTGAATTCTCTCACCACCCCTGCACCTCTGGCCTGTACCCCAATTCTGTATGCATAAATCTTTAAAAAACAAAAGAATATGATATTAAGGGGGGAATAAAAGCTGGGAAAATGTAAATGTTGTCAGGGTGAATGTTTAGGCCACTAAGAAGATAATACTTTGCTTAAGTGCCATTAAGAACTTTGAAAAGTCTATCAATTTCTAATACTAGAATTCTGTTGTATAAATGTCATTACCAAGTTACTCATTTACTTTTCAGCACTGATGTTCAAATCATTTTATCATTTTATAGATCTTATTTTATATTAAGTACTTATATTCAAATTACTTTTAAATGTCTTGTGGTAGGTTTCATTATATCTCATCTTTGTTTTATAAATTGTAAATGTAAAAATTTAGAGTCACTTACAATTTTAGAATTTAATACAGAAAATATATTTTAGGAAAACAGTTGAAGGATGGGAAGAAGCCAGAACCATGCAAACCTATTCTCAAGGTGGAATTCAAAACGACTAGATCTGGGTAAGAGGTTCCTTCTTTGGCAGTATTTATTGTGTCTAATCACTCAACTAGTACGAAGGCTGCTTTATCATTATTGTTGAAGGCTTACTTTGGAATGGTATAGTTCAGACTTAAGTTTTGTGCTTCTGTATTTATTGAAATAACTAAATCTAGTAATCAGGATAAAATGCTGATGTTCTCTGTCTATGGGAGTTTTGTTACATATTTTGAAAAGTTTGAATTATTTTTATCAAGTTTCAGACTTTCTCTTAGTCTTTAGTAATGAATGTATTTATTCACTAGTGAACAAAAAGTAATTAAAACAAGGTTTTCATTTAATCTGTATGTGCTAATAAAGTATGTATGTTCTTCAAAAGTAAAATTTTCACTATTTAGCCATTTCAAAAATAGAGGTAGTTTAATATTAACAGAAGTCTGTCAGTTGTATTTGGAGACTTTGATTACCACTACATGGATTTGGTGGGAAATTATATTGTTTTTACCATTCTTACATCTTTTATATATTTTATATGTATAACATGTTATATTAAAAATATAATGAAAAAATTTTAATGTTTCTTTGAAAGCTGTACATATCTTTAACTTTGAAAGGAGCCCTTTGATTAATGCTGTAATTCCCTAAGTGGTATGCATAGTCCTAGATCAGCAGTATTAACTCAGAACATGTTAGAAGTGAGAGCTCTCAGATTTTACTCCAGACTCTGACTCAGAATCTCTGTGAATAGAACTCACCAATAATACATATATATATATAGAACTCACCAATAATATATATATATATATATAAAATTATTATAAGTTTATTTTTACATCATTTTGTGCCTTTTCTCATCTCAGTTGTAATCCCCGTGCACTTTGCATCACCAAATCACCCATGTACCATCACCATAGTCCTATGCGCTCCCCTCCCCCCATTTTTGAGCCCATTTCCTACTTCACCCCCATAAAATGTCTCTGGTATAATAGCTGTCCATTGTTTCCCCCACCTTTCCCCCCCGTCCTTTATGCTATTGCTGTTGGTGAAACCATCCAGTATTTTTCTTTTTCTTTCTGCCTTATTTCACTAAGTATGCTCCCTTCCAGCTCCACCCATGTTGCTGTAAAAGGCATGAGCTTTTCTTTTTTGATTGCTGAGTAATGCTCCATTGTGTATATGTCCCACATCTTTTTAATCCAGTCATCTACTTGGGATTTGGGTTGATTCCATGTCTTTCCTATTGTAAATAAAGGGGCAGTATACGTGGGGATGCAGGTGTCTTTTTGAATCAGTGTTTTTGTGTCTTTTGGGTAGATACCTAGGAGTGGGATTGCTGGGTTGTAGGGAAGCTCCATGTTTAGCAGTTTGAGGAACCTCCAAACAGTTTTCCATAGTGGTTGTACTCATTTGCATTCCCACCAGCAGTGCAGGAGAGTTCCTTTTTCTCCACATCCTCACCAACATTTGTTGTTGCTAGTTGTTTGAAGATGTGCCATTCTCACTGGGGTGAGGTGATACCTCATTGTGGTTTTAATTTGCATCTTCCTTATTACAAGTGATATTGAACATCTTTTTCATATGCTTGCTGGCTGTCTTCATTTCCTCTTTGGAAAATGTCTTTTTAGCTCTTCTACCCATTTTTTGATGGGGTTGTTTACTTTTATTGAGTTTCATCAGCTCTTTGTATATATTTTTGTGATCAATCCTTTATTGTTAGTATTGTGTGAGAATTTTTTTTTCCCAATCAGTGGGATGTCTGTTTGTTTTTTTGTAATATCTCTTTTGCTGTACCAGAAGCTCTTTAAGATGATGTAGTCTCATCTGTTTATCCTTGCCTTCACTATCATTGTGTTGGGTGCTGTTATCTTTAAAGATGTTACTGAGCTGTACACCATTTTGTGTTCTAACAGTAATATTGATGTACGCTAAAGTTTAGAAACAGTAAACTTTGCTTATATATCAGTTTATAACCACCGGTAACTGACCTACTTCCCCTTTAAATCTACTCTTCTCCCAGTTCTAATTCAAGTCTACCATTATTCTGTTTGCAAAAAAAAAGACAGCTAGGCTGAAGATAAGATTGATGTTATTTATCCTTGATTCTCTTTTGCCTTCCTCTGGGATCTAGCAGATACAATGTTTTCACACAGTAGGTTGAGTATACTTAAAGAGCAGTAGCATCCGTTTAATTTACTTTAGCATCCCTTACTCTGCATCACACCTTTTAACTTCTCTATGCTTTGTTTCTTCATTTATGACATAGATGTAGTATCAGTAATACGTCAAAAGATTGTTGTGAGTAATTATTCAAAACTCTTTACACAGTATAGCTTGTATAATAAATGTTCTAAAAATGGTTACTATTGTTTGTATTTGGATACATCATACCACCAATTGATTTTTATTTACTATATTTGTCCTACGGCAAAGAGTGTGAATAGGAAAAGCATGTAGCTAAGTAAAAAAGAGAGAGAGAGAGAGAGAGAGAGAGAGAGAGAGAAGAGATGAGGTGGGAATGAAGCCAGAGAAAAACTAATTTGTAAGAGAACATTATTAGCATCAACCCAAATATAAGCCACAAAGTTGGGACACATACAAAAGGAAAGTCAGTGAATTCACAATAGAAAACATTGGTTTGGAAAGAGACACTGATAACAAAAAGAGTGATTTCCAAGGATTAAGTCAGAGTACACATAGAGAAGATAAGTTTCTTTTCCAAATAGGAAAGGTATTACCACGTGAATATATGATCCAGATTTTTTCTTCTGGGAATGTTTTTGGACCACAGAACCAAAGAGCTGAGGATTAAGTTAGATTTGAGCCCCTAAAATGGAACACCAAAATTGTGGAGTAAATGACAAGAACATCAAGTGTGGTGTAGAGGACAGGCTGCTGGCAAAGGGACAGTGAGTAGGAAGAATTAAGTAATGGAAAATGAGACTTCTTGAACTTGACAGTGATAACCCGAACACCATAAGCACTTAGTGGGTGTTTGCTGAATGGATGAATCATAACACTAATCCTGCTTTATTTGCATAGTTCCTGTTTAGTGACCCAGGAGGAGACCATTTTTCAGCAGAAGCCTCATTTATACCTTGAGAGCATGTAGTGACAAATATGAAGTGACCTTAAAAATTGGCAGACTTCATACACACACACACACAAATAGGCACACTTTTCCCATAGGAAAAATACATTCTTTTTAAGAAAGTTTAATAAGTCACAATTATTATTATATTAATCTCATTTTGATACTAGTATTCTGTGAAGTGGTTTTAGAAATATCTAGGTTTCTGCAAAATCTACAACATCAAATGAAATAATTATATGAGAAGCATATTACCTGTAATTCCAACATCTAAAATACTTTTCCTAGTTCTTGTTTTTCTCAGCCATATATCCATTTTCACTTAATTATATTCTTAGAGCCATATTTAACTGTATATTTTTTTCCCTATTTTTAATATGCCTAAAATATTACTGGTCTCTTTGATTATTTTTCAGTTGTTTTTAAGGATTGCATAGTTTATTCAGATACCCCCTCCCTATTGTTGATATTATAGACAATAAGGTTTTGAATACTGCAGGAAAAAATAATTATAAATGGTTTCATTTACTATAATATTAGTATACTACAATAGTAAAAATCTTCTTTTGAATTCTTTACAGTAAATTTCCAGTGGTGAAATTTTGAAGATAAAATTTTTATGGATCTTGACAAATTGACAAGATGCTTTTTGAAATTACATGCGTGTACTCTAAAGAACTAAATAAGCTTCATCACTGTGGGATAACTTTAATTAGTTCACAACTTCCAAGTCAGCATTAATGCTTTAGGATGATCTTATATTCTGTAATGACAACATAACCTCCTGAGTGACTGCTGTTACTGGAGAGACAACCTGCTGAGGTAATAGGGGATCGCAGTTCCACTTGTTTGTATCTGCATGTAAAGTGGCAGCGATTTGTAGAAACTTCCCAGTTTAATTTTTTGTAAGCAGTCTTCCAACTAAGCATTGATGCTTTGACAGGGACCAGAATTTATTCATTTGCTTTTCTGTGCCCTAAAAATTTTCTGACGAGCTTAACAAAATAAGCTTGTTAGATGTAGATATTCAATGGGTAACAATTCTTCCCCATTTCAGAAACTCTAAAATAGAATTAAAGCTTTTGTAGATTTTGAACATGTTATTATTGATAAAAAGATATTTATTTCAAACCTAATTGTTTACAACATTATTACTTGTGAAAAGCTGCTTAGATAGCCACTTCTTACAGGCTTCTCCTTTTCCACTTTCTACTATTTTCCCTACAAGTGAATTTCATTCTGAGCTTTACACCATGTCTTCATTTAAAGCCAGGCCTTCTTTATCATCTAAAATGGTTCTGTGACACATTATTAAAGCTTTGTGAGTTTTGGTCCTTGTATACAGTGAATATTTTATCTTAATTTTGTTTCACTGATTGTTCTAGTGCCTTTACTTGGCTGCCTATAGCATGTATTGGGAACAGCTTGTGTGATTATGTGTTTCAAGAGAACATGGGTCAAATCCATGCAAGGCTTTGTCTGCAGTGAATCATTTTGAAAACTCTGTGGTGTTCTCTTATAGGCAAGGTTTGAAAGCACATTTGTAGCACTGTGAACCTCACAGACAGACCATTCAATCAATATAAATTAATTCTACTTGGAAAAGACTACCTTCAAGATTTTAGATTTCTTTTTGATACAGTGCCTATTTGTTACATAAAGTCTCTTATTTGTGTTGACAATAGAAAGAATTCAAAGTAATGGGCTAATATGAATTGCAGTTTTGCCTTTATAATCTTCATGCATCTTAAACCCACCTGTACTTTAAAGCTGAGATATACTGTAATACATCTATTTGTCAGATTTCTGTGGTTGGGATATGTTTACCAAACTCAGTATGCTTGCTTCTTGATTTATTTTTTTGATGCTTAATATTTGTTTTGCTTTCTAGTTTAACTTTAGCATTACAGTAGATGTTTTGACCTCCAAAGCCCAGGTAGAGAAAGGTTGAGTTGCTATTGATGTTACAGCTTCACCGTAGTGGCTTTTGTTTGAACTACCAGACTTTACCAGCTGCAATAAAATACTATCTTTTCAGTTTATGAAGTAGTTAAACAAATTTCTGTCTCTGAAGCAGGGAATAAGTTTTGAGATCTTTTTCCCCTTTTATTATTTAGGGCTCTACAATGCATGGATTCTTCTTTTGTCCTATTTGTCAAATTGTGAATTGTTATCTAGTCACTTTAGTGGTAATTTCAAGTGTTGGAGACCTAAGGTGAAATAAATTTTAAATTCTCAAGTTATTAAGAAAGACTTTAAAATTTGACTAATATGAAGGGGAATTCCAAGGTACCTCCAGATCTTTCACTACAGTTATGGTCAAAAGATCATAACTTAGTTTCTGGAGAAAAAACTATTTCTTTTAATGGTACTAATGGAATCCCTTGTAATAAACTTGAGCCTGTCATTTTTCCTTTGCTAATTAAAATGCCTTTTATGTAATCTATTATGTCATAATTTTTATTAAAATAAAAGCTTGATTTTTAGATTTACACTAAAAGCCCACATCAGCTACCACTCTGTACATGACTGATTTCTAAGATTCCCTTAATAAAAAGAAATTTTTTATATGTGGGTATTGTCTGTTGATACTAACCATATATATCAATAAATCAAGAAATAAAGATTAGAACTTTAAAAATATTTACATATTAAAAAATAATACCCCTTGCATATTAACAACATTTTCCACTATTTTTGAAAAAATAGAGAGGAAGAATTGCTTTATTTTACAGATTTTTTAGTGGTAAGCATTATATAGCACTATTCTCACATCTGCTTCTCCAGACTGTTCTGTCATTCTTTGAGTATATGGAATAAAAATCCAGCTTTACAGAGCTATGTGGTTGAATTTAAAAATGATAAACATTCTTTGATACTATGCCAAAACTTAGTAAGTGTTAGTTTTTTAAAGACAATTTGTTGTATGGATTCTTAATCCATATCAATAAAGTTTTTGTTCTGTTTCTTAAAAATCTGTGTGCCTGCATTCTTGGTAACTCTTCCCATGTATACTTTCATAGCATCAAGACTGGTCAGTCAGAAAATACTGATTTAATATTTAGGTCAGTCAGTCTCCTAGCACTTAACCATTTCACTGGTAATATGCTTAGATGTTGTTAATATCACTACTGATCTCATCAGTCTCTTAAGTATGGAGAAGCTATGAAACTCACTATAGTGGATAAAAGCTTTCTAAACTGATTTTTTTCTTGAAAGTGTAGATTTTATAATTGTAAACAATATGGATGTTTTAAAAATAATATACTTAAAAGTTTGTCAGTCATCCTTTCAGCAACAAATTAGCAAATAGTTTAGTTTATAACTTAATTACTCAAGTGCTTTTCTAGAAATAACTGCTGAAGCCAGTTTTCAGAACTGTTTGGTATGTACTTCCCAGTTGTGCAGCATAACATTAAAAAATCTTATCTGGGCCCTCCCTGGTGGCGCAGCGGGTTAAAGCACAGCACTAAGAAGCTTAAGCCACTTCAGCATGAGTTCGATCCCCTCCTGCCCTGGAGGAGATCCGCATGGCATTGCAGACCTCTCCTAACCCGCCCGCTGCTCCCCTCAGCAGTATACTGTCGATCTGTCTGTTCTGCTTCCCGCTCTGTCTCTGGTGAATCCTCTCACCCTCCTCATCTCTGGCCTGTACCCCAGTTCTGTATGAATAAATAAATAAATCTTTAAAAAAAAATCTTAATCTTCCATCAAATTTCAAAATCATCATTTTTCTGCCTCATCAAGGACATCTTAAAGTGGAAGAGAAAAAAACCTCTAACACCTGGCAGTGAAGACTAATAATTATTAGTTTGATGCTACTGCTTTGGCTTAATACTAACTGCCAGCAGCTTTTATTAACCCACTATTACTTTTGTGCCATCACTGCAAAATCAGCATGTGGAAAAGAAAGATACTGTGTTCATATGTAATGAAAATGGTTTTGATCTCAGTGGTCTTTTGCAAGGGTCTGGATACCCCAGTCACCTCCCTCTCATCATCACTGTCCATACCACGTGACAATGTAGAGGAGCTCTGCAAAGCTGCACTTGAAATTTGTACATTTTGGTACATAAAAGGCTGTGTAAGTCCAGTTACCAAACAATTAAACAAAGCAGTAATCACACAAATAAAACATTTAATATTGAATTACATAGGATTTTAACATTTTGTGCAAATACTGTAATACATCCACTCTACCAACTGTATATCACTATTAAATTTGTCATTAAAGGAACAGGGACATGTCTGAACATGTTTCTTTATTCTTCTCCTCCCATCTCCCCCAAATAATATCTGTCATTACAAGAGGGAATTAGGGAAACATGGTCTGGCAATGGCTCCCCTAGGTCCAGAAGGTTCTCATAAAACTGAAAAAGATATAGATGTGATCCAGAAAGCTATCGCAGCATGTCATCATCATCATTGTAGAAAAATAAAAGTCACTTTTCGAGAATGTGCTGTATACAGAGCACTTAATAAGCATTTTATATAGTTTGTCATTTAATCTTTACACCAACTCTAAGAGGTGTATATAATTGAAGAGAAAATTGAGGCTTAAATAATTAAAATTAAAGGAAATTTCCCAATTCTGCTAGATCAAACAAATAGAGCCAGACTTTGAGCACAGATGTCTGCTTCCAAAACCCTTGTGCTGTTTTTATTCTCAACTCACTACTTCATTTTAGTGGTTTATCCTTAAAGCTACCCTGTTATTTCCCTGTTAACTTAAAAAGAAATTAAATTTGTCATTACTAAGCATTAGTTCTCTTTTTGTCAAAGAGGGTCTTTCTATCTGCAGTTTCTGATTGAACACCGTAGGACATGAGGGCCTTGCGAAATCCTCAGTGACATTTGCCTTCACCCTCCCTTCCCCCAGCATGATAAAATGAAGTCATGGTATTCAAAACCTTGACTTTTTGTTTCTCCACTAGAGCTACTCGAAGTGTGGTGCATATTTCCAGTGTGCTAACTGTCTTGAAACAAAATAAGTACTGACATCAAGAAGAGTATAGAAGATCTGATGTCATGTGACATTGCACAAAATCTCTCTCCCCCCAAAGCAACTGTTTTTTTTAAAAATAGGTCTTAACCACAGGTAGTTTGAGGAGCACTGTTCAAAACTATAACATAACATGTATGATTAGATTGATTAACAGGTATGACTATAACATGTATACTATAACATGTATGATTAGAAGAGAGAGTGCTTTTGATTTTAGTTTTAGTTTTACTTCCAGGCCCTTGTGCATTCAGATTTTTGAAGCCTTCATTTTCATTATTATATTTTGACTTAATAACTGGAAAAACTTCAGCAGTAGGAATTCATGATTACTTTTTGAGTATGCTTCACAGTTTGCTTTCCATTCTCACCATGCATGCAGGTGAATCCTTTACAATAATTGACACACAATGTACAAAATCTAAACTTTTAAGTTTTATGTGAGAAAAAGGACATTCGACATTATGAGATTTTGGTTGTGTAGATTGTTAGATTATTCATATCAAGTAATATGAATTAAGACAGGAATTGTAGTATCAATTTATACTAATAAAAATCATTATTTAAATATGTGTGCTATTGGGATGCAATCTGAGAATGCTAAATAAACTTTGTTACTGGATAGTTTTTAGGAGATAAGGCACAATTGTACTCACCAAATATATAGTAATGAGGTATGTCATGTGAAGTAGAATGATGTCTCTCTGTACCTAGCTGAGACCTGTGAGTACAGGCCTAGATAAATGATTAACTTACCAATGGTGAATAGGTACAGAGTTAGAGAGTTGGCTATGTGGGGAGGTAAGCTGCCTGCTGGTGCATGTGCTTGGGAGCTATAGATTGAAAGCACACCAGCCAGGGCTCCGGGAGAGACTAAAGCCTCCAAAAATTATTTAAGTGGTGATTTTTCAAGGGCAGTTGGTAGTGGTTTGGTTCCAGATACATCAGTGAGAAGTTATTTCATTACACACACTGGTCCTTAGGGCATTGATACACCTTGGAACTTCCACTGAGAAGGTCTAGCTCTTAGGATTGGAAATAAAAACCTTGTGTTCAAGAGACTTATCAGCAGAAACCCAGAGAGAAATTTTGAAAAATTGTGTAAATGGGATAAAGGAAGAAGATTTAGGGACCAGAGTACAGTATGAAAATCAGATGTGATCAGTGTTCATTTTTATTATAGGTTAACTTTCAGTAATTCTCTGGGGTTTTCCTAATGCGGTTTAAATATCTATATGCAGATGTTAAGTGATGCATAAAAATGTAAGCATTTAAAAATTTATCTCATTATATAAAAGAATCTATGATATAAAATCATAGAAAATCTTGCTTTTTATAATCCTAAGTATATATATTTTACTTTCAGGGAACCTTTTATTATTTTATCAGGAGGTTTGTCATATGATACTGTAGGAAGAAGACCTTGCTTAACAGTTATGCATGGGAAAAGTACTGCTGTGCTAGAAATGGACTATTCAATTGTTGATTTCCTAACACTGTGTGAAACACCATACCCAAATGGTAAGCACTGCAGCTTTAAAACTTATTCTTTACAGGTAACTATTACTCTATATAAAGACCTATTTTATCTTAAGGACTTTCCTTATCCTATTGTGTCAGATCTTCTGGAGAAGACAATCATCTTCATAACTTTGCAGACTTTATTTCAAAAGCTAATTTTGTTTAATAAGCTGTATCTGTGTTCTATTACATATTAGTAGTAAATACCTTTGAAACATTTTCAAGTTCTGTAAAATAGTTGCTATGCAGTAGCCTTCTCCAGAGAAAGGAGATGGGGGCATTTATTTTAAGGAAATGGCTCACTCAGTTTGGAGGCTGATAACTTTAAAATGTATAGATCAGACCTGAAGGCAGAATATTCTGGAAAGATTTGATGTTGTAGTCTTGAGTGTGGATTCTACAGTCTGGCAATTCACAAGTGTCTGCACTTCAGGCTTGAAGCAGAATTGCCTCTTTTTCAGGGAAACTGGGGCTTTGCTCTTCAGGCCTATAACTGACTGGATGAAGTCCATAAAATTATGCAGGACAGTCTACTTCACCCCGACTCATTTATTATTCACATCTAAAAATGTATCTTCACAGCAGCATCTAAGCTGATGTTTAACCAAATAACTGGATACCAATAGCAAAGAAAAGCTGACACATAAAATTAACAACTATCAGGTATTACTTTGAGGAATTTGAATCCAGATCTTTTTCCCTTCTTTTGAAGCCCATTCAGAAATAAAGATATAATGCATTTTATACTTAAAATGAACATATAAAATAACTGAAAAAGAGATTATAGTAATACAGTAAGGTTCTTATGAGAGCCAATAATGAGAGTTGTGTTAACTCTCATTCAGATTTAAATGTTTTTGTTGCATGTTTTGCATTGGAATCTGTAATGCTGTCGATGTTACTATGAACTTTTTCTTGTTCATCAATACAAAAGTGAAATAATTTTATTTGGGTTATTATATACACTTATCTCATTTGAAACATACTAACTGTAAGTTATGTGAGGCTCAAAATGTTAAACACATGATGGTAGGAGCAATAGTCAATAAAGGCCATACAAGAAATGTTATTATTTGCTATTCATTCCATATTTAGACCTACTGTTCATGCATTGTTTTGCTCTTTCAGATTTTCAGGAACCATATGCAGTGGTGGTTCTTCTAGAAAAGGATTTAGTACTTATAGACCTTGCACAAAATGGGTAAGAAATGAAATTTGGTGAGCGACCGTATCAGTGTGTGATAAAAAGTTACCTTTTACTTTGTCTGGCTGTTTCTTTTCTTTGAAAATGCTTTTATTCATATCCATAACCTGCATCTCTTTTAAGAGCTCCAGAAACAGATTTCTAATTACCTGCCAGATTTCTCTATTATGTAGTGGATTACCTAGGTCAACATCTTTTTAACTTAAAACTTACTGGATTTCTGAAATTTCTGATTCAACCAAACACTTGGATATGTTGGAGGCACAAAAAGCCATGTCCGAAATAGATCACATCACAGTCACCTCCAGATGAGCACTGTCTGTCTCCCACCCTGCCAGTCATTAGTGGTGTTCTGAGTAGTTTGCCTGCACCAATCTTCTTACTTTCTTCTGTAAGCTGCTATGATTCTTCTTGTATCTTGTTTGAAAGCACTTTCTCAGTTGGCTACTTTGAACAGTAGGAAGCTGGGGTACCTTACCAACCTGATTTCTCACTCTCTTCCTGCAGAGGAAAATCTCAACTGTATGTCAAACAAATATGACACCTCCAGGGTGCTCTTACATGGCTTCCAACAAGGGGAACAATCCACTGCCATCAGTCATCCACATAACTTGAAGAGATAATCTTTTCCTCTCTAAGTGCTTCCTGTTCTCTCTTAACCAGCCATCCGATTTGTCTGTTCCTACCAGCACCTCTGCAGGGTGGCGCACACATGCACACATACATACACACACCGTTGTGCATACACACGCATGTACACATGTACACACACCGTTCCCTGGGAGTTACCTGGCACTGCCTGTGGAGTTGTGTTTTTTAATGAGGGAAGGCTGCTGCTGGCATCTAGTGGCAGAGGACAGGGACACTGCTAAGCACCCTCAGTACATAGAATTTCCAGCAAAGAATGGTCTGATCTAAAATGAGAACAGTACTGAGGATGGGGAACCCTGAAGTATTAGGTGAAAAGTACTAGTTGCCTTATTTTAAGCTGCTCGTAAACTCATATAAACTTAGTATATGTTGCCTGTCACAATAGTTTTTAGAACAATATGGCCGTTATGAAAGAAGATATTTTAAAATGTTACTGCTATCTGTATGCAAGTCCAAGAAAAAATTATTTTTAATATTATTTTCTAATTTTTTCCTTTGGTAAATTTTTAAATAGTGAAACTTTTCATACATGGTCTGTACTGAGATCTATTAGGGCAGAGAAAATATTTTACAAGTTGCCTTTGACTTAGCATTTTGTATAGCAAATGTATCACTTAAATATGTAGTAATAATGGACTTAAGTGAGCTAAGGAAATAACTGTTTTAAAGAGCAGAAGTTTGCCTATCTTTTTGTAAAGCACATTTCATTTGTGTTTTGCTTCTTGGCTTTTTTATGTGCTTGAAATTGCTTTGCTGACAACTGGGTTCAGTCTGAATTCTGGAAAGTGCTTTTGTAAAAGTATGCTCTGATTTACAGTTATTGCATTACTAGGCTCATCTATGCATCTAATATTTGCATAGTTGATACTTTGATCTATTCAGATGTTTTTAGTCACTTTCTGCTTTTCTAGACTTATTTTTTAATATTTATGCACACAAGAACTGAGGTATAGGCCATGGTGCAGGGGGTAAGAGAGCTCCCCAGAGACAGAGTGGGGAACAGAATAGGCAGATTGACTGAAATACACTGCTTAGGGGAGCAGGGGGCGAGACAGGAGACGTCTGCTGTGCCATGTGGGTAGCTCCCTGGCTGGGGATTAAACTGGAGCTGCCATGGCTGACAATAGTTTGATAATGCTGTGTCTTTAACCCCTGTGCCACAGGGAGTCTCCTACAGACATTTTGAAATAACTATTCCCAATTCTGAAGACTTTAAGCCAGAAAAGAAATACCATTGCATACTTAGTGAAGATTTTATTTTATGGATTTGAGTAGTCTTGTGTTTTATTTAATAAAATAATTTTATAGGTAGAAAATGTGAGAATTTTGTGTAGCTAAACACGAAAATAAGCATTTCTAGATTAATATAACTAGGCATTATTTCATGGAGAAGAAAGGAAAAATTTTGGTAATGATTCATAGGTCTAAGTATGAAGTAGTCATTAATTTAAGAACTTTATAGTTTAATGTTTAAAACTTGCTGTGTCTACTTATTAGCTGCCATACTTTCACCTTTATTCTTTACTAAAATGTTTACATCATAAGTTGATACAATAAGTAAATGAGATATATATATATATTTAATATTCTCAGTGGTTCATGGTATGTAGCTTTAATTGTAGCTTTTCTACTTACTATTCTAATTGGACAACATTTATTACAAAACATACCATTTAGACATATTTGCATAAACTAACATGTGGTTTAATATGTATAATTTCTAAAATTCTGTAATGAAGAATATACTGTCCTTAAAGCTCATATTGGCCTAGAATAAATATTTCAGTAAAATATCCCATAGACTTTTACAGAATATTTATTAACTTTGTATTATTCAGAAATTAAAATTTTCTCATTCCAAAGTTGTAAATTGTTTTGTTCTCATTGTTATTTTTAATCATAATTCATTCAATTTTTTTTTCCTTTTGTTAAAGCTATCCCATATTTGAAAATCCCTACCCTTTGAGTATACATGAATCCCCTGTTACATGTTGTGAATATTTTGCTGACTGTCCTGTGGACCTCATTCCTGCACTTTATTCTGTTGGAGCAAGACAGAAACGTCAAGGTTACAGCAAAAAGGTATTGAGTATGAGTTTTAGTTTTTAATGTTGTATTCTAGAATTTTATTTTGATTACTTTGGAGTGTTTGATTATGATACCTTTTCTAAGGTACATTTTTTTAATAAAAATCCTATTTTGAAGCAAATATTAATATTTGTGCATACATATATACATATATACATATACATATATATGTGCATACATATATACACATATGTATGTAGACACACACAGAATATGACTGCAATTTGTATACAATTAAACAAATTGTATTCATCTTTTTTATAGGAATGGCCCATCAATGGAGGTAATTGGGGCTTGGGCGCACAGAGTTATCCAGAAATAATAATTACAGGGTAAGTAAAAGTAATTTCATAAAATACATAAATTAGCAAGAACTTTAGTAAATTGGGTAGCTAGTGCTTTCCTTTATGTTATTGCATAATGAAAAGTAAATCACTGGAAGAACCTGTCAGTTTACTGTAACTTTTCCCTTTTTTCTTCATTTTCTGTCTCTCTTAAAACATCAATATACATCAATAAGAGGAAGAAAATCTTTAATGTTTCCTTTTTTCCCCTTCTTAATATTCTCAACTTGTTGGCTTTTCATAGGCATGCTGATGGGTCTGTTAAGTTCTGGGATGCTTCTGCAAGTAAGTATTTTGAATATTGTTTTATATTAGAAAACCATTATTCTTGTGCAACCAACATTTAATCTGAAATTTGGAGATTATAAACATACTTTATCAATTATTTGAATTTATTTTTAATAGACTAAAGATACTCTTAAGGATACTAAGTAGTAAATCAAGTATAATTTTCAACAAAAGTACACAAATCCTTTTTTCAAAATTACTTCAAACCTTCACCTTTTAATTCAGATAGAATCAGGAATATGTTTCAAATCAACAGAAAGTTCTCAATTTAATATCCGATACTTTACTGATATCACATAAGTTGTTTTGTCTTTGTGAAATACATATAGTGGTTACATAAAAGCAGAAAAGGAAAGAATGCTTTGGATAACTAATAATTTTAAAAATGCATAGCAAGCTTTCAGGGAAAAATTCAGTTATTATTTTATATATCAGTATTATATTGTTTCACCATGTAAAAATATCACTAGTTCTTGTGCCTTTTTAGGAAAAATATGTAGAAAATAATTTTAGAAAGCAAAATGTTATTTCTTAAGTTACATTTTTACATTTTCCCCACAATTTTGTGGCTCATTTTTTTTTCAAGTTCTCTAAATTCATCATGATAGTAATTTTTTAATAGCTATAATCAGTACATCTTCTTTAATAAAACATTGGATCTATTGTCTAAAAGTATAATAGAGAAATGTAGCTGTAGTAATGAACTATAATTCAGAATACTGATATTTTCCTCTCAGCATGACTGATTAAATATTTCCTTACATTTGATCTTTTTGTATTGAAACATCTGTCATTTCTTCTAGTAACTCTGCAAGTATTATATAAACTAAAAACATCTAAAGTTTTTGAAAAATCAAGGAATAAAGATGACAGGCCAAACACAGACATTGTGGATGAGGATCCATATGCCATTCAAATCATCTCCTGGTGTCCAGAAAGCAGAATGTTGTGCATTGCCGGTGTTTCAGCTCACGTCATTATCTACAGATTCAGCAAGCAGGAAGTCGTCACAGAAGTCATTCCGGTAGTAACCTCTCAGTTTTGTTCAGTGTCAGAGATGAACAGAGACCTCTGCTGTCAGCTCTGTCTAGAGTTTTGAAAAGTTCAGAATGTATTGCCATTTATCTTTTGTGAAAATAATTTATTATGGATATCTTTGTGCTGAACAATGACATCATTAAATATATTGTATCTTTCATTTAGAGAGAGCTAAATTGAGTGTACTCTAATTTTTTTTTTAATTTGTTTTTTTTTTTTTTTTTT